CAGTTTATTAAAATGTATTATATATTTTTTTAAATTATAGTGGGTGGAATAAGTATTGAACACAGCACCATTTTTCTCAGTAAATATATTTCTAGAGGGTCTATTGACATTTCCATGAAATCCACACATACAAAGAAACCAAACCATAGATGTCCAGAAATTCAGTTATGTGTAATAAAGTGGCATGGCACAGGGAAAAGGTATTGAACAGATGAAGTAAGGGGGGGACAAAAAGGCATGGAAAGCCAAGACACCAGCTGAAATCTGTCAGGAATTAGAAATCAGTCCTGCACCTTGTCAGAGCTAATTAATATCAGCTGGTTCAGTCCCACATGATGGCCAATAAAAAGGTGTCCCTGGTATAACACAGGAAACATCTCATGATAGGTAAGAGCTTTCCAAAAAGCTTCACCAACTTAATGATGGCATTACTTCCAGAAGATTTCTAAACTTCTGAATGTTCTAGTGAGCACTGTTGGAGCCATAATCCAGAAGTGGAAAGAACATATTTTCACCATAAACTGACCACAACCAAATAGCACTAGTGGAGAGCTTCAGCAAGACTTTGAATTAGCTGGAACAACTTTTCAAAGAAGAACTCAGCCAACATGGCCTGTATGCACGCTCAGCATGCAAGACTCCTCTGCTGCAACAGTGAAGTTTGGAGGTGGGAACATCCTGGTGTGGGACTGTTTTTCTGTATATGGTACTAGCAGATTTTAAATAACTGAAGGAAGTACGAATGAAAAAATATACAGAAGCATTCTGGATAAAGATAAAGTGCCTTAAGATCACATGTGTTGTGAATTTGCACTACATAAATAAACTGAATTGAAATGAATAAAGATCTCCTGTACCACGATGATGAAGATGAAACTTGGGTAGACATTTCAGCAAGACAATGAGCCCAAACACACAGAAGAAGAAAACTCAATTGATTTCAGAGAAAAAAATAAAGCTGGTAGAATGGCCCAGCCAATCAGCTGACTGGAATCCAATAGAAAAGGTATGGAAAGAACTAAAGATCACAGTTCATAGAAGAGGCTTGCAAACCTTCCAGATTTGAAGACTGTTTCTGTGGCAGAATGGGCCAAAATCACACCTGAGCAATGCATGCGACTAAGGCCGGGCAAACACCATGCCATATTTTAAATCATTGTACGCAGCTACAGCTCAAACTGTACGACGAAACAGCAGGGATTAAAAGTTCACAGCACACTTCCGCTGTACGGCTCAACGCTCTGATGCAATCTACCTGCTCACACTGTACGTCCAGAAACCACATATAAGACTCGGCGTCAAACGATCGTGCTGGTCGGACACGTCAATCTGGAAGAAGAAGAACTCCATTCAGTTAAAATCAGCTCATAGACACTCGTAGCTCTGCTTCAACAGCAGGATTTCCCCACAAACACCTCAAGAAAGCCAACTGAATTTCCAACATGTTTAATTTTCTCCCTAACGATTCCTGATCCGGAGGTGGTGGTTACCGCCTGTATACTACATAACATAGGACCCACCATGAGGCTAAAACGTGGCCTGATCCCAAAAAATCTGCACGACTGAAGAAAATAAAAAAAATCATACAGTGTATGTTCGGCTTTTATCTCCATGTAGAGAGTGGATCTAGAGCAAAGATCGGCAAATATAGGGAGGCCAATGGATCAATTTCGGCAAAGTTGTCAACATTTCATTGCAGCTTTGCCTGAAATTCAAGTTGAAAAATAAGATTTTTTGTTTACAGGAGTGCAGCAGATACAAGCTTTTTATGAAAAAAGAAGGATAGAGAAAATAATCTTGACAAAGGAAGAAGAGGATTATTTTGGATAGTAAGACTGTTATTTCTTTATGGAGAAGTAAAAGCCTAATGCACATGAATGTGAAATGTGATATCACATACCTATAAGAATTATATTAAATACATCTAAAATTTTCATTTTAGATACAGGGGAATACTGTATGTTTTTAGATGTCTGAAATGTTCATTTTGACTGGAGAGAACTGCATTTCAGATGTCTGAAATATATATTCAGTCAAGCTAATAAATATCAAAACTGCCTGCCATAGTTACTCATAACTAAGCTGAGGATAATCTGTTGAATTTATGGTTTCTGTCTCTGGGAAAATATCTGCAAACGCTGCAGTCTTTAAAAAGCTGTAATACCAATACTGTACCACTAGATGTCAGTGTTAAGTGCTGGGTTAAATATGCCTCCTGAAAGTAACTTGATCTCTTTGAGGGGTTTGCCTTTCACTAACAGCTAATGTGGTTCAGGATTTAAAGGAGAAGTCCGGTCAAATTCAGAATTCAAACTTCTGAAAGTACTTTAAATATGAAATTATTATATACTGTTCAATGAAAGATAAGTGCTTTCAATTCAGAGTAATGTTCATTTAAATGTGCTTTACTGGAGGCAACCATGTTTGTCAAAGAAACAGCTCTACTCTGAGTCCTCCCTGGATGACTGAGCTCCTCATCCTATCTTTATGGGAGAGCCCAGACACAATATGGAGAAAATTTCAGCCACTTATATCTGGGATCTCGTTATTTCGGTCACCACTCAAAGCTCCTGACCATAGATGAGAGTAGGAACGTAGATCAACCGGTAAATCGAGAGCTTTGCTTTTTGGCTCAGCTCTCTCTTCACCACTACAGACCGGTACAGGGCACGCTTCACAGCAGACGCCGCACCAATCCGCCTATTGATCTCCCGCTCCATCTTCCACCCATTCGTGAACAAGATCCCAAGATACTTAAACTCCTCCACTAGGGGCAGTACATGCTCCCCAACCCAGAGAAGGCACTCTACCCTTTTTCCTTCAACACCATGGTCTCAGATTTGGAGGCACTGATCCTCATCCCGGCCGCTTCACACTCTGCTGCGAACTACTCAAGTGAGAGCTGTAGATCAC